TGAACTTGACTTAAAAGTTCAATATTGAACCTGAACTGAACTTTTTTTAAAAAAAGTTCAAGTTCAAGTTCAGTTCAGTTCAGTTTATAGGAACACTATTTACAACTTTTATTTACACATATAGTTTGTACATATATACTACAAAATATTTTAATCATAAGCAAATTCTTCAAGAACTTGTTCTGGAATTCGATGATGAGAACGATACTTCTTTACTGCAAAGTTAGCAGCCTTTCCAGAAAGTTCAAGTTCATAAGCACTCATAAATTGTTCAGAACAGCAAGCAAAGCAGCGAATTTTTAATAAACTAACAGAATCTAATGCCATTGGAACAGTTTTTTTTGAGGCTCTTAAAACTATAATCACAGTAAAGTCTTGCATAATATTTTACCTTGGCCCAAATGGACTCAATATAATTAAGTTCACAATAGAACTTAGGGTAAAAGATGCACATGTAGCTGGCATCTTCAATTACCTAAATTATTTATATGTATGTAAGTAATGGTTTTTAAATAAATTTTTTTTTTTTTAACAAAAAAAAACTTATTTATCTCTTGTATGTGTAATCTTTGAGCTGCAAAGTCAGGTTGAGCTGAAAGAATATACGAAGTGCAACAGTTTAGGTTGTTTGGATCAGGCTTATTTTTTTTACATGTATCACATTTTTTTATCCATAAACCTCTTTCTTCAAGAACCTGTTTAATTCTCTTAGGCTTTTTTATATTATATAGGTCATTATATGCTTGAAACTATCAGACATTATACTATCATGAAGAAGTGGTTTTTTTGTACCATCTTTCATATCTATTTGCAAGACCAAAAGGGCATCTTCAGCAAATAAACCATGATTGCTACTATTATCAAACATGAATAGAGCTATCTTGTTGGGGTGTGTTCATTCAAATATTGGTATAGCACATTCAACTACCTGATTAACTAAATCATCGCATGTCTACCAACTATCACGATTTAAGCCTGGATAGATGGTAACACCTGCTTCGGTATATTTGAGATGCATGGAATCAGGAAGTAAATCATTTATACCAATTTCATAGTCTGAAAGTTTAGACGCCTGATAGATTCACAGACAAAATTACTAATGTGAATACTGGAGCCCTGTGATCAAGGATAGGAATCAAAATTAGTCAAAAAAATGTTTCTAGCCAACTTACTAAAAAATTAGGAATAATAGTATATATAAGATATTGGCTATACAACGATTAATATCATAAAATTTGTTTTGTCAGAGCAAATGATTGGCTGTCATGTGCCATGTAGCGGCACATTTCATCCAATCATTTGCTCTAACAGACCAAATTTTGTGATATTTATCACGCATGATCCAATATCGATATTATCATACAATTATAATCATGATTTACGAGTTGTGGTTGGCTAACTAAGTTTTAATTCAGAATTGTTGTGCTTACGAAATAATATACAAAAAATAACAAGAAGAAAAAAATCTATAATCATAAGAGTTTGCACGATAACCTGGTCTATTGAGAATTAGCAAAAATAAAGATTTTGCTTATTCACATATGGTTCAGGATATTATTCATTAATCTCAGTGATATTGGTATAGTGATCAGAGATTATGGCTGATTAATATGTAATATTTTAATTAATAATTAAAATTTTAGTTAGCTGATTAGCTGACTAAAAATGTTAGTTAATTCTAATTCTTACTAATAATTTTTTCTGTAGATTTGTACTTTACCATATCTTCACGTTCGTGGCCATCAAAATAAATCTTTTTATATAGGTTTGATATCTCTATCCAAGCAATTTTAGCTATCTACGCAGTTGGCCTGCTAATGGTTTTACTTATAACTCCAAAAGCGGGTATAATATAACCAACCTAACTCATAAAATTTGGAATGGATAATTTAAATTTATTTTTTTCCAAATACTGATTTATTTGACACCAAAAACTTATATTATGAATTATGATTTTGTTTTTACATATTTACCATGTTTTGACTTCGTTAATTCTTTGTTATTCCTCAATTGATTTGCCCAGGTACGAATACGCCAAGCATGCTATGGGCCTTTACCCAAACTCTTAGCCAGAAGTTTACTTGCCTTCATCTTTGTATACCCTTCATTCACAAGACAAAGAAATTGTCTCATTGTATTGAGATTTATATCGACAGTTTTTGTTTTCAATTGTATATCTAGTGATAATAATATAGAATTATCATTATTAACACTACTGTCAAGGGTCTTATTCGATGAAGAAGCAAGTTTTGATACTGTATGCTGATTCTTGTTAATGGGATTAAGTGCCATAGGTTTGTTACTTTTGTTAGAAGCGGTATTGGTCAATTTAACAGATGATTTATTTTTCCATTTCATGGCAGCAGCTTGTCGAGATTGTCTTGTACAACAGGGACAGCATGCAGTACAGATTTTCTGGGGCATGTGATATAGATCACTGTATATCACGTAATTGTTACCTCAGATCACTATTATATCACATGTATAAATAAATTCTAGTATATCGTACGTACATATGTACTTTACAAAATATTTTGGCAACCAACTAATCAAATTTAATGAAATTTCTTTTATTTGAATTCTATGAATCCATAGAATTTAAATAAAAAAGATTCTATCGAATTTGGTCTGGTGGTTGTGGAGATATCTTTGCTCAAAGTTAGTGAAAAATCTGAAATTGTGTCAATTTTTTTAAAAAAATTAAACAAAGATATCTCCACAATCACCAGACTAAATTTGATGAAAATTTTTTATTTGAATTCTATGAGTCCATAGAATTTAAATAAAAAAAAAAATCATCGAATCTGGTCTGATGTTTGTAGAAATATCTTCGCTCAAAATTGGGAAAAATCAAAACAGTTATCAAAATAGAAGTTATGCCAATTTTTTTTAAGAAAATAAGCAAAGATATCTCCACAATCACCAAACCAAATTTGATGAAAAATTTTTTATTTGAATTCTATGAATCCATAGAATTTAAATAAAAAATTTTATCAAATTTAGTCTGGTAGTTGTGGAGATATCTTCGCTCAAAGTTAGAAAAAAATCAAAATGACTATCAAAAAAAAGCTGTGCCAATTTTTTAAAAAAAAAATTGAGCAAAGATATCTCCACAAACACCAAACCAAATTCTATGAAAATTTTTTTATCTGAATTCTATGAGTCCATAGAATTTAAATAAAAAAATTCATCGTATTTGGTCTAGTGTTTATAGAAATATCTTCACTCAAAGTTAAAGAAAAATTAAACAGCTATCAAAATAGAAGCTGCACCAATTTTTTTAAAAAAATTTGAGCAAAGATATCTCCACAACCACCAGACAAAATTCTATGAAAATTTTTTTATTTGAATTCTATGAATCCATAGAATTTAAATAAAAAATGTTTTATCAAATTTGGTCTAGTCAAATTGGCCAAATAGTCTAGTATTTTAATAAATAGTTTTGTACATATAATTTGACCAATTTAACTGGTCAAATTGGTCAAAATTTGTTATTGAGTGATTCATACTAACTCGGTATATAAAACTTTTAATAAATTATTATTGGCACGATTCAAATATCTGCTAGTTTAACTTACAATATTACTGTATTATGGAGAATCCAAATAACTACAATATAATGAGCCAAATTATAACCATTCTTGACTTGATAAGGAAAACAAATTTTTATCATTTTATTTATATTAAACTTATAAAATTTGAAAGTATTATAATAAGATTTATTCATCTAAATGAATGAAAAAGTATTCATTCTAAAATTGAACCCGGATAAAAATTATTAAATAATAAATTTTATAATATTCGGGCTAAAATTTTCTTACAGCTTTCAATCTATAATTTAAGCTTGGTTTGATATAATTAAATGCATATACATATGCTATTCTAACAATATAAGCTTGAATTATTAGTAAAATATAAACACTCAACTAGAGATTGCGCCTGTCAAGAAAATTCTATTCAGGTATTATTAAATTGCCTAGTTATCTAGGTAATTTACTATTTCTATACAATAAAAAATGTTTACCTAGTACAATCTCTATACAACAGGTTAAGTAACATAGTTCAAATATCATTCCGCTTGTTTTTTGAATTTTGACCGATGAATAAATGCTTTCTAGCCAAATGAACGAGAACCGCTTGTAAAATTGGAAGACGAATTTCAGCTTAATTTTATAGCATAGAAAATAAATCATTCTGTTAGTTGAAACACGTTTAAAAAATATGAGCCATGGCTTCAATAACATAACAAATTTGGTGAATTTAATAGCGATCCAAAGAATTTTTGTAGCTTGATTGGATATGCAAAGGCACAGTGACTCCCCCTGTAAATATAATAAATGCTAGAATATCTAAAGATATATACATAAGTGGCTATATTAATTAGATATACAAAGGCGTAGTGGCTCCTGTAATAAATATAATAAATAAATATGAAATAAGTGAATATATTTTTCACGTATATTATTTTTATAATTCCAAGTAATATATTTAAACAAATTATATACGTGAATTTGATTCATCTAATTCACGCAAGTCTGTTGTAGAATCGACAGAGATCTTTGTATAATTTATTTTTCTAAAATTAATGTGGAGTCTATAATTTGTTTTATAGTTCAAAGTAAAGTATTCCATCAAATCAAAAATGTGAATTTGACTCTTCTAATTCACACAAATTTGTCATAGAATATATAGAAACTTTCATATAATTTATTTACTCTAAAATTCAATGTGAAGCCTATAAAGTCTAAAAGAATAAATATTATTATTAAATATAACTTTGAGAAAATTATCTGCTATTTAGCTATTAGTTTATTAACTATTAATAAAATATAATCAATTAATTTCTAATGTTCACATTAATGTTAAACTATAATTATAATTTTAAAAACTTGGCTTATATGCATTGAATAAGAAAGCTTCAGTTTATTGCGCCTATTTCGTAATAATATATTAAATTCTCAGAAAATTTGTATATAAATATCTCTTAGTTTGATTATTGTCCATTCTTTAGTACTATTACATTCTTGCTTTTAATTACTTGTAATTCTATTACTTTTCAAAGATTGTCTATTTAACTTCTACTAAAAATGAATAAATACAATTCTTGTACTCATTATTATCTGCCAGAATCTTTTATGTATAAAGGAAAAACTTATAAAACTTGTGCTAATTGTCTTATTAATAAAGCCAAAAAATGAAAAAAATTAAATACTGATAATACTCAACCTATTATGGAGACAATTTCAACACAATCCTTTTGTAATTATATAGAAAACTTAATCTCCAATATTGAAAATAATAATAGAATTTTGTTTGAAATTCGTATCAATCTTAATGATGATATTTTTTCAGAAGTTGAGCTTAATGACCTTAAATCAATTGTAAGAATAATAGTAGATGAAGTTGAAGAGGTGATGATTATGTCTGGTCAGCTACAATAGCACCATATACCTCAGTTCGATTTGATAATGTTTCCACATATTACTTCGCATGTTCTCAATGCTATGAATTAGAGCGTGAATATAAGCAATCAAATCGAAAAAGAATTGCTCGATTTGATTGTCATGGTAAATTAACCCTTCATATTGATGCACCTGTGATGGAAACTATATTAAAACTTTGCCATAATATTATTCATAAAAAACCTGAAGATGTCTCAACACCAGAAGAAATTAAACAAGAGATCTGTACCAACCTTCATTTAGATCCAATACAAATTTGTACAATTCTTTGTAATAAATTTGAAATTTTAAATATTACAGCAAAGCAGATTTATTATTGGTGGTTAGTGTTTGTGCAAGACTCATATAAAACAGATGAAGACCATGTTATTTCAGCACTTACATTTCTTAGATCGAATCGTGCTTCAGGTTGCAAACTCTGCTTCGAATTAATAACTGATAAAATAACTGCAATAGGTTTTATGACACCCCTATTTAGTACTCTTTTATCCATATCAGAAGTCCATTGTGATGCTACTTATAAAACTGCAAAAGGCCAGTTTGAATTGTATGGTCTTATTGGTAATATTGATAGTGCAGGCTTTTCCTTAGCATATTTGCTATTAAATACTACAAATGCTCAAGAAAAAGAGTCACATGAGTATTTAAAGACAAATATTCTTGCCAATTTTTTTAATTCTATTCGGAGTCATGGGCTAAATCTGACCTATTTCTACACAGACAAAGATTTTGCTGAAATAAATGTAGCAAAAGAGGTATGGCCACAATCTGATATACAATTATGCCAATGGCATATTGATCAAGCAATCAATAAAAAATTAAAAAGTAAAAAAAGAATACAATACACCCAATATCAGCCTAAAGAAGCCGCTGCTGAGTTTAGTTTCATTAACCCAAAGGTTAAACTAGAATTGAATCGTTCTGACCCTGATTAATACAAAGTCTGCCCATTAGACCTATGAAAAGATATTGTGAATCTCATTAGAAAGCATTTTAACATGCACCCAAAAATACCCATTAATGCAGATGGTAAATGTTTGACATCTGCAGAGATTCGAGAACATACAGTGCTTGAATTATATAGTTTTTGTGTAGAACATAATCTTGTAATATTATAGTCATAATGTGATCTTCATGGTATAAAATATCACATTGGCATCTCTGGGCACATTCAATATGAGCAACAATACCAATTGGAAAAACGAATATGATAATAGAATTGCATTAGAAAGTGCTCAAACATTGTTATCTATATCGGTTTAACAGGCCAAGATTAGATTATTTGGTATGGATTATTTGTTCTCAAGTTTTACCTGATCAAACCACTTGTTATCAGCAAATATATCATGGTCGAATAACACCAAAGTGGTTCGAAGAATTTAAGAAAACCTGGAATCAACTTGCTGAATAGCCAATTGCTGATAATATAGAAAGCTGTTATGCAATTGATTTAAATTGTTGGATATGTAGCTGTCCTTTATTTTTATATAGCTGATTCCTTATTTGTAAGCATCTCATCTACCAGGCAATTGAGAAGGAAAGGTTGCATAACCCAGAAGGAATTCGACTTATTTATCAAAATTTCAAATGACAAACAGATTATCTGTTCCTTATCTGAAATAGCAATGAACCAAAGGATACCATTCACATACCTAACTTAGACTCACAACAGCAATCTAGTACTATTTTTTCTGCTGACAATGATGATGAAAGAGTTGATCCGAATCTTTATCAACAATGTGAAGCTAAGGTAGTCGAGTTAGAATATCTAGCAAAATACCTTAGAGAAGAATTGTCTATTAATAATTTAAAACACGTAAGAAATATCATTAATAATATGGACTGAGTGTTCACTATGATAAATGACATAAAATCATCACAACACAATTCAAGGTGTAGTAATACATAGAATGCAAAGTCATGGATCATGTTTTTGCAATAATTAATTATTTGTAATAATTAAGTTTAAAACATTAATTATATAAAATAAATCTATCATTTTTCTGTTCAGTATCAACTTGTAACTTTTGTAATTACTATATTTTAAGAATCGGGTGATACTAAATTTATAAAATTTAGATTAGTTAAAATTTACATTATATATTTTTATAAGTATATATATGTATACATCTATAGTTACCCTAATAAGAAAGTCATCCAAATAAGTTGAGCATTTTAAAAAGAAAAGTTGCAAATTTTTGTTGCCAAGTATTCATCAATTATAATCGGTAAAGGCTCTAAACTGAGAAAATAATGTAATTCTGGTTTAATAGGATTCAAACATATTACAAACAAAAAATTGTAGTATAAAAAATGGAAGCCTGAAATTTAAAGGTATAGAAAAATAATTGAGTGATACCAAGTAAAAACCTGGAAATATAATTTAATAAGAATTCCAAGTTTTTACTTGGTATTAGGATAACTGTCACAATACTTATCTACATTAAACACTATATGTAGTTCATGTTTGATAAGTTCAATAATGCTAAAAGTAATTGCATTTAAATTCGCTCTTAATTTAATAAATTTATTAATAATTAAAATATACTTTTAAACAGATTTTGGTAATTTGAAAACTTAATGCGACATAACCTAATTTTTATTTTTATAAAAAGTTTATTCCACAACTTTTCACAATACATATGTGCGTATATATTTAAATCTAAATAAAGCAGAAGTTTGTAACAATAACGATAAAAGTTGTACAGTATATATATATGTATAAGTAATAAAATCGTGATCTGCAGATCAGATGACAATTACGTGATATGCAGTGATTTACATCACATGCCCCAGAAAATCTGTACTGCACGCTGTCCCTGTTGAGACAGGTCACATCAGGCTTAAGCTTGGTAAGCCTCTTTTTTGATTAGATTAATATAGCTATAGATAGAAATTTATATAATTTTTTAAATAATTTTAATCTCAAATAAACAGAAACAAATTATTGAATTAAAAAAAAATAATTATTAAAATATTAAAATTGGTCTAGTAAATCATGAGATATAATTAAAAATATCTTTGTAATTTATAAAATTTCTTTAAATTTATTAAGAAATTTTATAAGATTATGAAAATATTTTATTTCATAATTTACTAGGCTAATTTTAATATTTTAATAATTATTAAAATTGTTTTAATTAAAGATTAAAGATATGTTTTATTAATAAAAAAATTAGTAATATTTGTTTAAATTTTATATAATATGTAT